TTAACCGTTTGAGTGCCACGTGTCTTTGCTGTTTTCCCGTCCAAAAGTGCCAAGCGGCGCAAAAGCGATTGTCTTATTTCCTCTCCAAGAATGCCAAGGAGCGCTATTGCGCTGTTTTCAGATTTATACAGTAGCTGTAATTGTTTCAATTCATTGATGTTCTGCCATCTTTCTGAACGTAAGTACAGATTTATCAGCGTCTGGGTTACGTCATATAATATAAGAATATAATTTAAATATTTTATTGCATATATAAAAGGTATGTACAGTAAAATTTTCACTATTTTTTTTGTATTTATACAGTATAATTTTTTTATATTTTTATTTGATGCCCTTCAGCAATTAAATGCCTTCTAAACGTAAGACGAGCAATATAATAGAGGATTCGAATTACGATAGCGATGATAGTGAAGTTATTATTTTTAAAAGAAGAAGGATGAATGTTATCGGCGATTCTGTTTCTGACAATAATATTTCTAATACTGGAGACATTTCAAAATATATCATGGTTACGGAAAATGAATACATTGACCAAGGCAATTCATTTCAATTCATTGAAATGTCGGGACCGCGATGCCGTTTATCTAATAGAGCCAAACCGATTGAATATTTGTAAAGTCGCGCATCAACAAAAACCGAGCGTGACGCGGTTATCGGTTTCGCAGCCTAGAGCGCTGGCACTGTTCGAGAGACAGATGAGAAGCGCAAAATCGCTCCGTGACACTCAAACGGTTAAATACTACTGCTTCCAATTTTTTCTTTAATCCGACTGTTCCAAAATCTTGAATTTTTAAATGGTAATTCTGAAAAGAAATCACTAGTTTATCTGTGGGCGCGGATTATAAATTTAATAAGTTTAAGCCACATCAATGTTTTTCGATGGTAGGTTATGTCAAGGTTATGTTTTTCGATGTTAATTCGATGGTAGCATTACATATATTGGGCGCATGAATGATCATTTTATAAATCCTTATCACGATGATTGATTCCCGAATCAATGTAAATTTAAATGTACACTACTATGATTCTATTGTATTATGAAAATATTTATTTTAATCAATTAATTCTTACGACTAACAAAAAATATACAATTTTTGCTTATTTACAAACAGAATACAAATAAAGTACATTTATAAATTAGTTTTTTCACATAATAGTCCGGAAATTATAAAAATATAAAAATAAAATATAGTATTATTCTTTAACATCTCCAATTCCATCCGCATTGATTGCAAACATTGCTTCACTTTCAGGTAAGCAGGGTGAACCATATATTTTACATATCCTCGTTTCTCCTCTTCCTTTACGCAAATAGAGCCTGGTAGTACTTGAATGTGCTAAAATATGACCACCGATTGGTTTCTTTTGATCCCCACCGAACATACTTGCTGCACCATCGACCTGTGCCATAACTTGATTAGTAATAACAACAGCAACACCATGTTCATCTGCAATTCTCAATAGCATTCTAAGAAATCTAGCTAAATGAAGTTGTCTGGCATTTAACTCTCCTCTTCCAGAATAATCACTTCGGTAGAGGCCAAGTGCACTGTCCACAATTAGCAATGCATATCTAGATTCTATCATCATAGCACTGGCCTGAATTAATAACTGAGTTTGGTGATCCGTATTGTAAGCTCTGGCACAAGCCACATTGTCTAAAACAGAATCCCCAGCAATTTTATATCTTTCTGCTACAGCAATCAATCTTTCTGGTCTGAAAGTGCCCTCTGTATCGATATAAAGACATTTTCCTTCTGCACCGCCCATGTCTATGGGTAATTGACAATTGACAGCCAGTGTGTGGCATAATTGTGTTTTTCCTGACCTAAATTCGCCAAAAATTTCTGTGATAGATCCAGTTTCTATACCACCACCCAATAACCTGTCTAATTCGCTGGAACCTGTAGTTACAAAGACAATGTTCGAACGAGTTTGATGAATTTCGGAAGCACTTTTAAAACCCATAACAACCAATTTTGAAGCTTCTTGTATTATCTTGTCTGCTTTAGCTTCGCTAATACCCTTTATGCCAATTAGCTGCTTTTTAGGTGCATATGCCACAGATTCTACAGTGTAGAAACCAGCTTCCTCCAGTTTTTTAATGTCCCCTGCTGTTATGCCATTTCTCTGAACAAGAAATACATTTAATAAATAATTCTTAAGATCCTGCTTTGCGAATAATATGCAAAACATCTTGTAAAATTTAACTAACAAGAAGAGATCGCAGTCATTGGATTAGTGGTTTTGATACAATTTTTTCTGATCAAAATGGAGCAGAAATAAACCGTTCCATACTTAAGTATTTTCATTAATACTTATTATTTATGAAGATATGCTAGATTAAGTCTTCATGATTTCCGCTAATACTGGATCAATAGAAATTTATTGCTCTAACTATGTTAGCAAAGATGATAAAGCGGTAGGTTCTTTCAATCTAGAATTTAGTCTAGATTCATTACAAAAAGTTTGATCACACGCTATGACTCAACGATTACCACCTCACTTTGTAAGAAAATTTGGAAAAGGTTATAGGCTTACCTCAAGGGTTTTTATTAACTTTGCTTGTGGCTGATAATTTTCAAATTCTTCATCACTCTCGTGGAGAGTGGCTGTTGTTGCTGCGGCTGTCATTTCTTAATGAACTGACGTCTTTCATGTAAAAAACGAAGAACTGAAAGTTTGATTCAAGTTGCGTATAACAGATTGAAGCAGGTGTTTGTTTTGTGCCGAAAATTTTTGGCGCTAAAAATTTTGTAATCCCTCGACGACAGATGGCGCTTTGGAAGTTTGCAGTTCCTGCACTCGCCTCCCATTGATCACTATTTTCCGTTAATAACTCGTAAACAAAGCCGCGGATTGCATATTCGCTAAGGAAAAAGTTACTTCAAATGATCTCAGGAACTCCCCATTTCCGAATTACGAGACATTTTTGGGACATTTATGAAACATGTAGTACAGAAATATCGTCCAATCCCATTCGTGAGGTCTCCTCTCTGCCACTTGGAGCAGAATCTCTGACACCATTGGACACACTGGTCTTGGGTGGAAATTCCAAGAACGGTCGGGAGCCTGAGAGCTCTGTCAGGGACGAATCGCTTGAACGCTTTCGTCGGAATCGGATTCAGAGGCATCGATATCGATAGTTTTTGTAAGGATATAACGTGGCAACAATGTACATTTAAAAGCTGGCAATGCTGTAAATTTAACTACCTCAGACGCACACTTTTCTCTGTCGCAGTCAGATATAGTTCACTAGCTGATCGTTCCATTTAGGTAGAGTTCGGTATCGTACCAGGTTCAGATTCAGGTTTGCTTTATTTAAAGTACCAGGAGCCTCCTGCTCCTTTTACACTATTATCCTTTCAATCTGTAATCTCTTTTACAATATCACCACTTTAGTATTCTCCCTGTATACAGCTACAGTCTTACAATTTTGCTATCCCTATAACCTTGACATAACCACAGCGTTTTCTGCAGAGTCGGTAATTCAGACCCTGAGACAAAAGAAAGCATTGCATACAGTGTCTGTACGAATCCTAAGTCTGTGCCACTATGGACGCGTACGTAACCGCGACATACAGTGTCTTATACACAGAATTCATTGTAGCATGTATGTAGTAAGAAAAATTTGTCATTATGTAATATTTTGGAAACTACTAAATTTCCGAAATTGAAATTTTACATTTCGGAATCTCTCCCCCTACGCTCTTCCCAAATTTCGTCTTGATCTGCAGCGGGTACTTATCGGAAGTTTTACCCAATTGATTTTATGTTCATCTTTTGAAGTAGCTTTCATGGAAAGAAGTTTTTATGTAATTTGAAAGATTGTATTAACGAGCGCAGAGTTTCCGTGTATGGTGCACAGTTGAATCTAAAAAATTAGATCGCGTGTTTATCGACGATCACATGTTTATCACGATTACATTTTCATCAAAGATGTCTCTTCGTTCGATGATCAGAGAAGGAAATCAAAGAAGGGAAAAAGGTCAGGAACGAAGGGTATTAGGTCGAGACGAGACGAATATACAGTCCGTTGCGACGGCCGACTATCGAAATAATTCTAATATATCCCTCCCCAAAGTGTTCTTGGATGGGGAGTTGTTCGATGAACATCATCACATGTTTTTATGCGCGATTCCTCGTCGAAGCATCATTGGACTAACAACAGCATACAATTCACCTTTCCGATGACAATGGCGACTTTCCATAAGAAGCACCTTTGCTCGTCAAATCTATCTATAAACGCTGTGTTTTTCGATTTGGACAACACGCTCATCAAGACTAGGAATGGCGACAATCAAACGTGCCGAAAGGTATGTTTAACAGATTTGAAATAACGTCGTACATAAGTTAAGAGCGATCAGTATGTAATATTGACTCAGGACACAGCGAAATATCTGCGTTGAATTTGCGTGTCTAATTAATCATTCATTCGCTTCGTTTATATTTTGCTTATTGTTTTCCTCTACGTATGTACATTTTGAAGAAACTTTCTGACGATTATGTTCGCACCTACTCTCTTTCACTTCCGTTCGGATATGAAGATCGCACGAAAATAGAAGCCTCTGTGTAACACGAGCCGACTCCCTGATATAGAGCTTTCTCTCGGACGGTTATTTTCGACCGAGATCCCACTGGTACTATCCAGACGCTCGACATAACGTAGAAAAAGCGTGCGAGCACGTTACTGAAAGTTTTCACGATCCTGAGATACCAACTTGAGCGTACTGTGTGCATCTGCTCTCTCGAAAATCTCGCGTGCATTGTGCTACTTTAAAAAGAAGGTTATGCTCGTATCCTATTCTAAAAAAATCATGAAATCATTTACCACAGAATTTAACCATTACAATTTTCGATAGACTTCTTTTAGATTCGACTTCCCTTAATTGAAAAAGAATACAAGGGTATAAATAACGAGCAACGTGTACGTTATCCATTTGTGCTATATGATATTGAAAAACAACGTTAACCTTATACTGCACTGGCAATAATCCATTGGTTGGTAATGTACCCACGTTTGTGGAATAACGTTCGTGGTGGTAGAACTTTATTTTTATCCTACTAAGTGAGTGTGTCAAAGGGCAAGGCTAGTTGCAGGGGGTTCGTTCTGGGAGTACTGCCAGTTGGCTTTTGGCTGTGCCATGTGAAAGATGCTATCTTCAGTGAAACCTTGTTGAACTCGTCCATAAATTATTATCTGTCGAGTTGAGAGGCTTTCTTGGAGGTATTGTTGTTGTAGAGGGCAACATAAAACGGAGGTATTTAATAATTGCGTTGGTTGTAACAAATAAATCGCCAAAATGAGTATCCCAGAAAGTGTGAAGAAGTGTGTAGCCATATTAAAGACTGTTGAAAATGATTCGGAGAAGTTCGCAGCTCTTTTTATGGTTACAAAATTGGTGGACAGCAAGGATTGTACAGCTGCAGTTAAAAAGATATTATTTGAAGCAATTGGATCCAAGTTTTTAAAGAAATTATTATCCACTCAAACGGTTCCTGTGGACTGTCCCCCACAAGTGTATAAGTCTGTAGCATTGTCTATACTTTCTGCATTTTGTGGCGAACCAGAGCTAGCAAGTCACCCAGATATGATTGCTCACGTGCCTGCATTGCTTGAAATTGTTTCCCAAGTCGACGAGGATGCAGCAGATGACATGTTGATTATTGTCAGCGAGGCATATACATGCTTGCAAAGCATTGCACAATATCCTCCAGGACAGAAAACTCTACTTGAACACAAAGCGATATCGAAGATGTGTGATATTTACTCTGAAAAAAGTTTTCAGACAGATCAAGCATTGAACATCCTGGTTATATTGGTTGGAAGATTTGGCCCAGAAGCTTGGGATGCAACAGATAATGCACCTTTTCATGCCATTATCAATAAAATTGCATTCGACTTTGAAACAGATCACACTGAAAGAAAATTTGAATTATGTACAATTTTACAAGCTTTATTAATGAATTGTAGGAAAGATGTTATTATTGAGACAGCTAAAGAGGAATCTTGGCCATCCAGTATTCACAAGGCTCTGTCAGATATCCTCGGATCTAAAATTGGTAAAAATCAACGTGATCCAGCATTGAAACTTGCTTCTGTGATGATGGATATACTGGGAGCCGAATGGACATTGTCGGATAAAGAGAAACCAAAAGTATTTTTCTTACTCTTGATTCAACTAGCATCTATTGAAGTTAGAATGCAACTAGAAGGAAAACAACTTAAAACTGTCATGGCAAATGTTGATTTAATCACATCTTGCTTTGTTATTCTTGAGATTTCGCTTGCCTACATTATTACAGATCAATTGGATTTGGAGGAGAAAGAGAAGCAGTCATTGTATACAGCACTGAAAGGAGCATTTGCTGCGATTATAGGTTTGCTCAATGCTGTCTCAAAAATGAAAGATTTGACAGATATTAAAGAACGAGCATTTATCTGTGCTGTGGTAAGAGTTTTGGCTGCTTGGCTAGCTCAAGAAACCAAAGCAATGCGTCCCCAGATTTACGCTATTCTGCCTTATGTTTTAACGGTGGCTAATGATACATTTTATGGTTACCGCAATAGAAAGCTAGCAGAGAAAGCTAAAACGAATGCTAAATCCAAAAATGATGAAGGAACATCGTCGGAAGAATCAGTTCCACACGACCCTATAAGCGAAATTGATTTATTGAGACTGCTATTGCCAGCTTTATGTTACTTGACTGTCGAAGAAGATGCTAGGAAAATTTTACTTCGTCATAAACAAGAAGAAATTCTGTTCGAATGTTTATCTTATCACTGGACGATCGTTCATTATAAAAAACCACCAGTACCAAAAGCAGAAAGATTAAAGGCATTGAAAGAAGCAGAGAAAGGAGAAGATCTAGAGCTTTATGCATCGGAAGCAATGAAAGATTCGAGATCAGCTATGGTTTCTACCTGCAATGTTTTGATGAACATCACTGTATTAGAACCGAAACTAGTAGAAGAATCACCAACATTTGTTTCTGTGTTAAAATTTATGTTTAATAATCTTCCAGAGCTTAAACAGATTCCAGAGAATTTAGTTCTACATGGCCACTTAGCAGTTTTGGGATTGCTGTTGTTAAAGCAACAGGCAAAATGTGTTAAGCAAAACGATTTCTCTATATGTCGATATATTCAAGCAACTATACGGTTTCTCTGGGATGCTTATATAATTGATGAGAGCAACGATCCAACTGAACTTGTTGTTTCTATAATGTATAAAGAACGGTGGATGGAACTGATGGAACTATGGTTTCTCGGAATGCAAACGATGGCTGGAGTTTTACAAGTAGTTCCTTGGCTCTCGCAGTTTACTTTAGAGTCAGGTTGGGCTGAAGAAATCATTGAAACTCTTAAGAAAGTAAAAACAGGAAGTCTTCAGCCGAACGTGAAATCTGCTTTTGAAGATCTTTTATGTCATTTAGTGAAAGCAGATCAAAGCGTTGCTTCTGTTCTGAAGAAATGCGGAGCTTTGACTGTTTGTCGAAATCATCGTATGATGGAGCTTGGAAAACATCTTTTTGGGGATTAAAATACTGCGAAGACAGAAGTACAATTCGTGTTTTAATTGAAGATATCAATTTTTGTTATGAGCTTTATACATTGTCTAATATTCTTTAGAATGCAGGGTTATTTATAGGTCCGTTTCTCAATGATTCTGATTCACAAAATTATATACACTAGTCTCTTAGTAATATCATCTTCTGCCTACAATTTTGTGAAACTGTACTCAGTCATGACTCAAATGTAAATTTAGGTGGCAATCATATCTAGAAATAGTTTCCTGGCAAGCAATGGAGTTAATGAATACCTATATGAATCGAATTGCTTTTAATGGTTCAATATTGAAAATACATTTCGATTCAACGTATTTTTACATTTCGTATTAAAACATAAAATTATAGGCTACTAAAATTTTTTACAAGCTAGATATGTATTTATAATTGATGTAGTTTCAAAATGTATATATACTAAAATGAAAAAAATGTTTATGTATAATCAGTGATTTTGTAAAATAACAAATAACCTTCTTATTAAATAGATTTGTTTTATAAAATATTTTCTCTCTTTCAAGTTATTATCCCTCCAGCAATGACGTAGTTAAGTAATTGCAGTAAACAAAATAATTAGAGCGTGCCAAAATAATTCTTAATGTTACATCAATGTTATGGCGTAGCAGCTGCATCAATAAGTTTAATTGCAGTACTACAAGTTTGTTGTTGGCACAACTGATTTTGTTGTGATTACAGCAACGTCCGCGGGTGCCACTTCGAGTGTCCACTAATCGGCTCGAGTATTTCAATGAATCAATGCATTTTCTAGGTAATCATCCAAAACTGAATTAAGTGACCTAATCTCCAAACTGATCATTTATATCCTTCTTTCCTCAACCTTTGGTTAAGTCATTCTAGTCCATATTCAATACTTTTCTTACTTATTATGCTCATAATTAGTATGTACTTTGTATTTTGTTTATCATTTTCTTGTAATATCGCTTGAAATACCTTCTGAGCTAAACAAACTTCTAACAGGGACTATTCTAAATTTATCTACAGTTGGCTGAGGAACTAACAGAAGAGTATGGCATACCTGAAGATGCATCTATCAAGATTACAACGTTATATTTGAAACTGTTTAGAAAGTGCCCTGACAATATGATTTATACACTGGATGCTTGGCGCATAAGTTTGTGGAGTAAAGCACTCGGCGAGAAATATTCTTACTTAGCAACCAGAGTTTATGAAAGATGGTTGTATCTACGGTATTATTATTTAGCACTATCCTCGGATACAATTTTAATGCTGAGACAGTTGAGGATAAAGTACCTCCTAGGTCTGATAACTAATGGCCCTTCAAATGCACAATGGGAGAAGATACATAAATTATCATTAGAACAGTATTTTCATGTTATTTTGGTGTCTGGAGATTTACCGTATGAAAAGCCAGAAAGACCTATATTTACGAAAGCTTGCCGATTTTTAAATGTTAAACCAGAGAAGTGCATCATGGTCGGTGATAAATTAGAAACTGATATTCTAGGTATTTCATATTTAAAACATTATTTACCCGACTTAACTCTCTAATGTGTAATAATTTATTATTTTTACACAGGTGGAATAAAGGCAGGTTTCGGAAGTACAATTTGGATTCCAATTTCGGACAATTCACGGTTGTTAGAAGAAGATCCACAACCAGATTTTATTATAACTCATATAACAGATCTCTTGAATATTTTGAATAGAGGTACTGGTGTGCCCGAACTTCAGGACTCTTCTTCGAATGCATCAGATGGCAGCTAATGAGGAAACAAAACTATCTATTTTTTTATTTTTCATAGAATATTATAGCTATTATAGCCTGCTTATCGGAGGAAGAAATTTGACCTACGCAGATGTTCATAATAGTTATCCATGCATGTCCATAATTGGAGTTAGGTGTGGACAACTATTTTGACCATCGATGTACCTCTTCTTCCGAAAAATAGACTATAGGAATTAAATTTCTGTTACAAAACTGGTTTCGTTTCACGGAATTTTGAAACGACACCTTGCGATTCAAAATTGTTTATTATAGTTAACTATAATAATATATAATTTATTATACACGTTATGAAAACACTACAGACAATTTTCTTGAAAAGTGTCTGTTTGTTTTGGTACTACATAGAACAAAGTAAAAGTATGGACTGCAAAGAAACAAACGATTGGTGATATTACATATAAACGAAGAGACAATGTCTATTTTTACACGATATTTTTTTTTATTATACTTTACTGCTGAGAAAATTTACTGCATCTTTTCAGTTTTTTTATTACTTATGTGAAACTATAACTGCATTTTTATAGGAACGAGCAGTGCTTGTTTTGTTTTTCCTTCAGTACTTGATAATCTTTTGTAAAAACCTTTTTGTTCTTCATGTAAGCATATACATATAATAATTTGTTATAAGTGAAAAGAGTACAATTTGAGTACAAAGTGCATTAGCCCATTTGGAACTATTTAGTGATAAGAGATGGAGGTACTATCAAAGACATGTACTTTAGTTTTATGTCCTATTTATACTTTTGTGTAATGACAACGTATACACAAACGCAACAACGTCTATGCAATGTCCGAGACAAGTGTATTGTAAAAATCTGTGAACGTACGTTTATAGTTGTGATATATACGTTTAATATATACATAGTATATATACATTGTTTAAACGAACCGCGTATATATTGTAATTATATATGTGTACCTAAGATGTGTATTTTTCATCGAAATATTTTGTCTTTCTTGAACTACCGTGTACAAACATGATGAAGAACTGATGATGTAAAAACAATAGCAAAACTTATTTCTATTGGGAAGGAACTATAACAAATAAAAACAATATTTTTCTGGCACTTTTTTAGAATCTTCAATTTTCTCTATAATTTTGTCTCGTGAAACTAATACTTGAAACTTGTACGTCTTTGTCTTCTTGTGTTATGAGATCTTGCGTTGTTGAACCTTTTTCTTGTTCGCTTACTTTCATTAAATTAGGATCAAACCAATTGTTCACGCTAGCTGGATCGCAATCGCACGTTTCATCCGTCTTTGGGCATACCTAAATGATACATTTTGTTAAAATAGTAAGCGATTATGCTGATCAGACAAGCGATTCAGCCATAAACTATTTATCGAACATACAAAATTCGTGCATGCGGGGTTTACATCTTTGCTTTTAGTAAATAGCCTTCTGTAAATTTTCTGAGCATCATCCGGATGGATATCGGCTTCCATCAACGACATAATTACATCTCTTTCGGTTAGCACTAATTCTGGATTTGCATCTACCAATAGTACTGACTTATTGCTGACTGTCGATTCACGCGTTTCATCACTTCTGCCTTGCTGAAACGACATTAACTTTCCCATGACTTTATTATCGTCTAAAACTTTAGGCGGCGTCGGTGGTCGAGGTTGAATAAAGTCATTATCATCCCAAGCGTCTGCGACATTTAATGCGATTTTCAGTTGATAGATTTCATACATCATTTTATTCTGTAGGATTAGAGAGCATTAAATTAATGTGCTTAATCTAATTTTTTAATCAAATTAAATATTGTTTGACTCTGATCTGAATAACAAAAATTACTGTAGGAGTCTGACCATGTTTAAAAGTCCTTTGTTCCTCTCTATGTGCCTCTTAAATACCTCGCGCAGTTGATCATCGGTATAACAATGCGTATGCAATATTTCACGTGTAATTTCGTACACGAAATTCACATATTTCGCATCCTCCTCTCCGGAATTTTGCTGGTTTGCGGTAGAATCGCAGGGTACGAGAGCCGGTGCACCGCAATCCTCATTACATTTCCTTGAATTAGTCCTTGTCGGAACACGATTATTTTTTGTCATTTGAATATCGGAAAATCTTTCGTAAAATATCGAATCATCGGTATATCTATAATTTAATGTGTTCTTAAATTAATATAACGCTAAGAAAAAAATATACACTTCTTTCTTACTTGCATTGCGACCCATTTTGATCCTTCAAAATAGCCCGCGTCGTTCGTTCATCTATACATTTATCGTTGCCTTTAATCGTCTCAAACTTGTTCGATTTGAATGCTGACGATCTTAAACAAAATATATGATTATGCAGTGAATTAACCTGGACAACTGTATCGTAATTATAACAATCGGAGAAATACCTTTGGTCCTCGTCGTGGCACAAGTATCTTGAGTTATAATGCATTTGCACAACATCCTGTTTATCAATCGAAATACACTCATTACACATTACAGTAGAAATCGAAAACGCAAAGAAACCTGAAAAGGCTTTTCTGGGTTTCTCAGGGAAGTCATCTCAAGACTACGTCTTCGTCTTCTTCAATAACAAAGAAAATTACGGTAGACTTGAGATTACTTGAAAATTCGTTGAAAATGCTATACATTATATACATATGTAATACGAGGTTCGCACGTATCTGAGAAACATATCTGCGATTATTATATGATTTGTTTACCGCTGGATGATGCAAAGTGTCGTATGCTAATCGATCGATCAGTTCATCCGTGATTATTCTCTTCGTAAATCGCGGCTTGCATTCAACTTGCTTACAAAATGGTTTTCTTCTGCTTGTAAAGTTTTTGTTCCTCGAGTCGATGACACATTTTGCTAATAAAACGCGTCGCAAGTGCGCACTCATTGAGTTGTACGTTGTCAATTGCGTGAAATAACTTTGCCCATTTTGGTTGTACGCTAAGATTAAAAATTGTGTACATTGTATTATACGTTTTCAGGTTACCAGATATTTTATGCATTATTTCTTCTACATTGTATTACATTCATACCACTACTTTTCAGATTGGTCTCGCTTCTATTCCATTTAGTCATTTCGCGTGTTACTTTACATATTAGATCCACGAAAAACCGAGGAATACTGAAGCCACTTAAAATTTTGATCACGGTTCAGTGAAAGAGTTTGTTTTACGTATTACTACATATGTATTTGATAACTATGCTTTACAGTGAATATGTGCACTTGCTGAAAATTGTTTGTACTTTCAGTTGCTAAGTAACTTGATTCAATTTCAGTTTATTCAACGCGTGTAGTAAAAAGTTTTACTGAAAAACTTTTATTCCTGTATAATTACTATACTCACTACACATTTAATTTCATTGATGCATGTGAATAAATGATCATACGAACAAGGCTTCGTTTATTGATTTTGTTCACCTTCGATTAATGAATGAATAATAATTGATAAAAATTTATCTTATCATTCATCAAGGAGTATAAATTTAAATACATTTATTTTAAAAGCTGAATATTCATAATTGTATATGAAAGTTCGTTTATTTAGTCGGTCATTGAACATTCCAAGAGATTTTATTTGGATAATGTGTATATATTATACATATTTTGTATGTGCATTATGATTTCGATATCGAAGGTACATGTATACATATATATGTATATGTATGCTATTGCCGCAGTATGTTAATTGTTGCGCATTGTTAACAAGAATGAAGGTTGAATTAAGAGATGACGTTAAAAGAGTGAATCATTTTTTTGTAAAGTAACGCTTTACGATGGGGTTTAGCAGAATCCAAATAATCAGGCTGGGTTTGTTTAATCTAACTGATTCGTTGCTGATATGACGGTCAAAAATGTTGGTAGTATAACCTAAATTCGTCACATGTGATAAGTTGTAGATAGTGAAATGTTATGTAGGTAAAAGAAACATTCCACTAAAATGAATAATGTTTATGACGAGTTGACCATTAAAGACATAGCTCATTGGCTTGCTTCTGGAGCAATTATATTTGGTGGTATTATTCCATATGTACCACAATATAGAGAAATTAAAAAAAAGGAAAATGCAGAAGGGTTTTCCCTTTACGTATGCCTCGCACTACTCATAGCCAATACCCTACGCATTTTTTTTTGGTTTGTACTTTTTTTTACCAAATACAGAATCAAATAATCATTGTATGATATAACGAACGATAACAATGCAATTTGAAACAGGTAAGAATCTATATATTTTTCACAGGTTTGGAAAACATTATGAAGTGCCACTTTTACTGCAAAGTATATTTATGATCATTACTATGTTAATTATGATTAAATTGTGTGTTAGTGTACAAAATAGAAATCAAATAATAAAAACCAGGGAACACGTAATTGCTGGTAAGTTTTGGATTGTGAGATCAATAAAATATTATCCGTCATTATTATAGTATTTATGAACTATATTCAAATTCAATTTAAATAGATTTAGATGCAAATTTTTTTTGGAAATGGACAGATTTTCAATCATATTTGGAATTTATGCTGTTATTTGCTGCGCTGGTAGGAGTTCTGACATATCTATTAGGAAATATACCAATATTTGTTGAAACTATGGGATTACTTGCAGTATTAACGGAAGCTATGCTAGGAATACCCCAATTTATTCGTAATTTTGTAAATAAGTCAACTAGTGGCATGAGGTAAAGCATAGTAAATCTTTAAAAGAACAGACAATTAAGCAAATAGTTATGTCTATAATTAATTTTATTTTGATTTCAGTATAATGATGGTTACTATGTGGACTCTAGGTGATGCATTTAAAACTGGTTATTTTATTATAAAAGAAGCTCCAATTCAATTTGAAGTATGTGGTATTCTTCAAGTTATAATTGATATTGCAATTTTAGCACAAGTATACATTTACCAAAGTAGCGCTACTGTGCATACAAGAGTTCCAGTAAGAGCTGATTGATTATTGTATTTTATATATAGTGAAATTATGAAATATTCTTTGTACAGTTTTTGTATTAACTAACGAATTTTATCTAACCTATTCAACAATATTTATATTGTCTTTTATATACATCTGTGAAGTGCACAAATTATAGAAACAATTAATATTCAAGATGATGACTCTCATTTTATTTACATGATAAATATATGACATATTTTTTTAATTATATAAAGACTTTTATGCTGTTTGATTGTCTGACGAATGTGTATACTTTGATAAATAAATTGTATTACATGTAGAATATAAACCCAGAAATAAAGAATTTTTCGTTGATTTGTAATT